GTAAACGAAAGATAAATCATCTGCAAGACTTTCTCGATGTGCTTAGGCCCTTCAAGACCGCTATTATTTGTCTCTGCCCAGCTCAAGCCACCTTACTTCACTCTGACCGCATCCTCCTGGTGCTCATGCAAAACTTGCAGCACATCGGAACAGATATTTCGAACGCTCTCCATTATGCTCTAAAGAGGGAGATTCTGAAAAGGAGAACGGCCGCATCCTCTCGGCTGCAGTACTTGTTGAATCCGGCATATGACTCCGCGTTAGAGGGAGTTCTTGGACTCAAACGTCCCTCAGAGAAATATACCAAAAATCGGGTCGTACAGACTCTCGAACGCGGTTTCGAAACCCACGACGAACCGCCCCGCCTGAATCATCGAACGAGGTACAACTGTCTCTCAGCACAAGGAACGTTGAAGGTCTTCAAGGTCTCATAAGAAAATCGAACTACATAGAATTCAGCTCATAAGAAATAATAATGCTCACAGAGACCTTCCTGACACACGAGCCCAAGGAACTCATAGTGCCCAAATACAAAGGATACTTTTCAGAAGCCAAGAAAACAGAAGGGAGGCCAAGTGGAGGATTGGCAATATTCGTCGGACCACGGTTTGCACAATCGAAAGTTATGTTCAAAAGTGATCATATAATTGGTGTGGAGATCGGTGATACGACATACGCAACAGCGTACTTCAGTCCGAACACGCCAGTCGCGGAAATCATCCTCGAGGTACATGAACTCATCATGAATCAAAGCACAACCTCAATAGTAATGTACGGAGATTTCAACTGCAGGATTGATGGGAGAGAGCAGCGAGGTGTAGATCTCAGCGAGGCCCTTGGCCACCTCAACCTCCGATTGATGAATGATCCCCAAGAAATGACATACATCGCACATAACGGTCGCAGCGCTATAGACTTGATATTCGCGTCCGACAACATTGCCCCAAAAGTGAAGATGATTACCCAAGCCACAGTGGAGAGAAAGCATCAGAGGATCACAGTAACGATACAACAATCGAATTCCCTAATCAAGACAGGGAGCAAGAGGCCCTCGGCTGCGATAAGACGCATATCCTCCATTGAACTGGAAAAAGCGCTGCCGATGATGAAAGAAACAGAGGACCGCTCACTAGAAGATATATACAAGCAGCTACATGAAATCATTAAAAAGTCAGCTCGAGAAAGAATTCCGAGAACGAGGAAGAACAAAGTATGGTACGACAAAGAGTGTCGGGAGCTGAAGTCACAAGCCATCAGCAAAATTGGAACAGAAGAGTATCGACAACTCAGGAGGCGGTACAAAACCACCACGAATGAGAAGAGAATGAGATACGAAGCGAGGATCTTCGAAGACAAAGTGCAGATGAGCAGGTGCAAGCCGTGGCTCATGCTTCCGAAGAAGAAACCGACAGGAGTGCCAAGGATTGATCTGTGCTCCTTCGAGAAATACTACGAAGACTTCTACGCCGCGACTGGGGATACGGGGGAACCCAGCCTCGACGACGGACACCCGGATCAAAGTGGAGAGTGGTATAACGAGTACATCACCAATGAAGAGATCACGGGAAGACTCAAGAGGATGAAGAGAGGCAAGGCAGTTGGCCCGGACAGTGTAGCAGCCGAGATCTTCAAAGACAACACAATACTCGTGCCTATCGTGTCCCGTATGTTCAACAAGATTCTCGACAGCGGCAGAATACCGCAAGAATGGAGATCGGCACACGTAAAACCGCTTTACAAGGGTAAAGGGTCGCCGGAAGATATCAGCAGCTATAGATGCATTAACCTGACGTCGCACTTGTACAAAACTTTCACAGGCGTGCTCGCAGACCGAGTGACCACACAGTGTCTACCGCAGATCTCGGAGAATCAGCACGGTTTCCTTCCTCACAGATGATGCGAGGAGGCCCTGCAGGGACTCATTGAGTTCGTCGAGTCGAATAGAGAACCCACGCTTGCGGTGTTCGTAGATTTTAGAGCCGCATTTGACAATGTCAACAGGAAAAAGCTCCTCGAGACCGTAGGCAATAAATTCAAACTGAGAGGAAAACTCCTGAATGCGATCAAGGCCATAATGAAGCCGAACAACTTGATAGTAGACAACGGAGCAGATCTTGGCAAACCCGTCAAACAACACAAAGGGGTCCAACAAGGAGAAT